ACTCAGGTAACTGTGATCGGGTAATTATCCTGGATGGTGACTGAAGTGACTGTGATGACTCCCTGACAGTACTAGATGTTCTTAAGATTATAAATACCAAATAATAATTTTTAGTATATTAAGTTCAAAATTAGTGCATGAAAATGCATTTTAAGTACATTTATGGAAGTGCACTTTATTTTACTTGGGCATATGAACCGATTATGACTATTCAAACTTTGTAAAGAGTCAACAACTACCAGAGAACACATTTAACACCCTGAACAAATTTAGTTTTCAGTAACACTCAAATAACAAGATAATATTTAACTTATATTGCACAGTTTTGCCTATGTTAATTGTTTTCCTTTGACGCAACTGTGCAAAGACAAAATCTTTTATTAATTATAAAGGACTCATCAATCAATCGACAAATAAGAAGTTAGAAGAATTTAGATTTAAAGGAATAACGTGACCAAAAATGACAATTCGCTTGTTATTTTCAAACTCTGTCAAAATATCAGAGAATCACAGTAAAAGTATTGTGCAAAAGTACAGTTACTGTGGTCTAGTCTACTTTTTAGTAACAACACGAGATGCAAAGAATTATAGCCTTGTATTTCCAACCGCTACAATCCAGCAGTATATCAAACACAGAAGCCTAATTACACATTTACATTTAAGCCAAAGCGAAGGAAATGCAGCCCACTTGCAGGATTTGATTCGCAGGGTTGATTCGAACCCAAACTCTTATGAAAGGGCTTTTAATGATGTGGCCATTCATCTGTGCAAGACAGCATTAAAGAAGGTATAATTACAGAACGAAACTTAATGTACTGATGCCTCTGGGAGGAATGTAAGTTCATACTGTAAGTATGCATCAGGCAGTGCTTAAGATCCAAGTTCCAGAACGCTGTGTTAAGACCCCTCAAGCGCTGCTCAAGTTCTGTTCTCAACCAATTAGAGGGGAATCAGGAGGGGGTTGGTCACTGATGGAGAGACACACACTGACGGGAGCACAAAGCTTGCTTTGTCTTCAATACACATAAGTAATTTGGATATTTTCAGAGGATGGTGGAGAGAAATGCACATGCACCACAGTGGTGATTAGACCAGCAAACACTTGCAATAGATTATATAATAACCACCTCTAACACAAAGGGACCAATTTTGCCTTGAAAAAGAGGTCTGTTCAACATCATAATGGCAGAGAGATCTAGAGGAACGAGACAAATAGGATGAAGTTTTGGGGAGTGCAAGGACACGTAGATATGATTATCAGAAATTGCTCCAAACTTTTTCACCCAAATGGAAGTACAGCAGTGTAATTTGTAAAATTCTCAGATCAATGTGAAAGCTGTGGTCAGCCCTCTGGAAAAAAAAAAAGGTTTGTCTGATGCAACAGTGTGTAAAACTGTCTATTGCTATGCTAAATAACAACAAGCTTGTAAATCATTCATGCAAAAATAACATCTATTTGTTATATTCGGAGGTAAAGCAACCGTGAAAGTGAGGTTTATAAATAGGTCAGCCATAATAATTGAACGCTCGGGCTGCGCTCTAAAATGCTGCAGGAACGAATAGTTGATTCTGTTAAGGTTTAATTCAGTTTAACTTAACAGGGTCGAAAGTTCTCATTCAATCCAAGTCAAGAGGATCAGGATACATTAACTAGTCTAGATTTGCCAAACTTCATGGTTTCATGGGACTAGATATTATGCTTTGTTTTCCGTCTGTGAAATAAACATATTACTTCTTTAGGGACTGAAATTCTATATTTTCATATATTTCTCTAATTTATTTTGTGTTTCTCAACAGCCATTTTCAAAGAATCCCATGCCATATTTTAAATAAATTGTCATACAGTGTAAAAAACGAATCCTTTAAGTCATCTAATTAAAAATAATAATAATAATAAAATTTTTATGGGTTTTCCAGTCATTTTGACCTAGAGAGGACAGTCTTTTACTGTTAAAACTACAAAAAGTAATTTTTTACAGTATACAGACTCAATGGTCCTGGTCCAGAATAAGCTGTAATGTGGACCAGACTTGATTTTGAGGGTCAAACACCATCTCCAACAAGAGGGAGTATTTTATACTCTTGACCGTGTCTGTGAAACTTCTTTAGATGTCTAAAGAGGCAGTGTTTTGATGTATTAGTTTCAATTAGTGCCTGTAGTATCAACAGTGTGGATTGTGATGAGAGTTTGAAGTTGACTGTGTACATACACCCTCTAAAACTTCAACGTGCAGACACAACATAAATCCATCTCTTGGGAGAGCAGACAATTGTTTTGGTTTTACAGAAAACAAAGAAAGCTGTACCAGACTTAATACAGAGAGGGATTTACAGTAGTTTGTGTCTGTCTGGAGGGCAATAAACTAGACATCAAAGTTTTGAAGTTTATTGTAACTGGTTGATTTTTAGCGATAAGTCACTACAAGACAAATAAACAACTAAGGCTGTTTGTCAGATGTGTGGTTTTTGTTTTAACTCTAGACAAAGGTGACAGGTCAAGCTAAATAAATCAAAGGAAAATATTATGTAAATATGGCTCAAATAAAACCCTACAGGCAACAACCGATAAAACTATTAAAATCATTTTCTTTAACTGAAATAAAATATTCATGTTTATAATATATTATAAATATTAACTAATAAAAAAGAAAAGTTGAAACTGTAATAAAATACGTTAAAGAACTAAAGTTAAAATTGAAAAAATAATTTAAAGCTAAGTAGAAATATTGAAAAAACTAAAACTAATAAAAACGATAGAAGCACATAAAATGACTAAAATTAAAAAGACTGAAAATGTAAATATGAGTAATAATGTTAAAATAACTAAGCTAATTAATAATATTAATAAATACTATAAATAGTATATAAATAATGGGAGTATGAGCGAGAATAACATTGATACATGAACAAAATTATAGATTTTTGAAGAAAGAAGAACCAGTCCTTTCTCATAAAACTCTTTATTAAGTTGCTCAACAACTAACAGAACAAATAATTAATAAAAAATTCAAATCAGACATCGATATGAAATATTATGAACTTTATCTAAACGAACAATATCAAGTATGTCCTGAAATGCGTGTGAACTTGCACAACCTGGATCAAAATGGAAACATTTTCAAACATTCAAGACATCAACAGAAGCCCACAGCTGGCCCTGTAATTTATATATGTAATTTTTTTTTTTTATTACAAAAAATTAAAAAAGTCTATAGTGCGTAATACCTCAACATTCAACGCATAGAAAATACCACTTAATTATTAAAAAATATATACCACACTGATCAAGTGTAAGTTATATTATTACAGGGAAATCAAGTATATGCGATACCATTTATATGATAAAATATGATCAGTTAATTATGTGCTCCAAACACCTTTAATTGCAAACAACAAATAAATAAGAGTTGGAAATGTGCTGCAATCATCCCCCTCCTGAGGATATCTTATCTGTCAGTTTCTGGTGCAAATAAAGATTTGGTTTGTCTATGAACAAATGGCTTTTGATGAATGAATATTCAAGTCACATAACTCTTCAGTTTTGGGAGTTTCTTTGGGGCGCGAATCAGCAATTACTGAGTAATGAAGACAGAATGTGTAGATAGAGAATAACAAATTTGACTCAAACATTACATAGATTCACATGAATAATCATCACTAACATCAATGTCAGTTTAACTTTAGTGATTAGGAACTAATGATCAATAACAAACAAACAACAGATTTGCTAATGAAATACTAATGATGATGCACTAAATAAAATATGAAGATGTTTTCAAGAAATTCAGGTTACCTGGTTCAATTTTTTGTCTACAGACACAATTCTGTACCTGCGATTCCCTTTGGAATGGAAAACAATCCTGACTAAACGACATTCTTTTCTATTTATCAATAGAAAAAAAATCATGTTTTTCGCACAAATCCACCATAATACTTAAAGGGATAGTTCACCCTAAAATTAAAATTGTCATTATTTCCACACCCTAATTACTTTTTTTCTGTAGATGACAAAATTGGGAATTTCTGAACTGTTCAAAAAAAGATCACAGTAAAAATGGTTCCAAATCTATTCCAAGCCATACCATAGTTTTATGAGAAACAGAGCAAAATAAAGTGATTATTCATTGATAATCAACATAATTTACTCAAATCTAACCCTTCTTTTTTCATATTCACTCAAGTCTGAAACGGCATGGCTTTTACCTAAACAAAACATTTACTGTCGTGTATGTAGTAACCGAATATTTGTTAGAATGACCAAGATTTTGGTCTTTTCCTCACACAAACCTATCAAATAGCTTCAGAAGACTTGAATCAGTCATTCATTAAAAATCATTCAAACTAGATGGAAAGCTAAAAAAAAAAAGAAAGAAAAAAGGTAAATATAAAAAAACCCTGACAAAATCACATAAAATTACTACAACTAAAATAAAAATTAAAGCTAAAAATAAAATTTAAATGAAAAAAAAGCTAATTTTTTATTATTAATACTATATTAGCATAGAAATAATACTAAAATAAAACTTCATAGAATAGAACAAACAAGTCATATGGGCCACTTTTATGATGCTTTTTGGAGTTTGAAAGTTGGCAAGAGTAAGTAATGATTGTGCAAAAAGCGATTTGGTTTTCCGCACAACAAAAACAATGACAATATCAATTTTTTGGTGAACTATCTCTTTAAAACCAACTAAAAACTATATTGACTTCCTTCACATTTCCCACAATTCTGCTCTCTCACTCTTCCTCGACCATCATCTCTCTGTCTTGGCCCTGCAGGTTGTTTTTGCCGCTTCCTGTGATTGGTGGAGGGGTGTGGTCACACCTGTCCGTCCTGTCTGAGTCGAGGTCCAGCTCCTCGAAGGAAGAAACGCTGGAGGTGTCGCTTCTCTCCACATGGTTGAAGTCCCAGTTTCGGTCTCTGTCTCCGTGTGAGTGCGTCCGCGTGGTGGACGGGGCAGGTGAGGTGTCTCGGCTTTCCGAGGGGGGCAGGCGGCTCACAGAACTGCACTCGCTGTGGGAGTCAACACCTGTATGTAACACACCCACACAAACACAAGAGGTGATTCATTTTTCGCCATAGTGTCACAGCGAGCAAGCAAGCATACAAGAGCTATAAAATATTTCTAGAACTCCTGGCCTCCTTGTCTCTTAACATTTCAAAGCAAAAAAAGAGACACTCGTTTCCTTCTGTTTAATCAGCTATTCCAGGTTGTTTCTAATTAGCAGCTGTGCTTGTGTATTCGTGGAAGGGAGATGATGAGTGTTTGGAGAACTGCATGTGTTGGCATTGAAATGTGTGAACACAAACCTTTGCAGATAACTACATTTCTGCTCACCCATTTAAAACTCACTGCCATCACGCTAAAGATATTGCAGTACAGTTGCGATGGGTTATCTTAGCATTCATTATTGGTGGTTGCCTATTTCAAAAGATCTCGGCATGCGTCCCTCCTTCAGTGCACATCTATGAAATTTCTCCAACTGTTTTATTATCTACTAAAGATTTTGAGTCCTTTGACCACCTAGCAACCACTCAGAACATCCTAGCAACTGCAAAAAAGAAAACCACACTCACTCAATATTTTCTTTAATAATGTAAAAATCTAGTCATGCATGTTGGAAATGCATTAAAAGCACATACAGATACATACAGGTGGACACATTTTTTAAATGCAGGCCAATACCAATAATTCGATAATGATAATTAAATATGATCACAACCAATGAATGGCTGATATTAAAATTCTGTACTATTTTGTAGAAATAAATTAAAAATCTAAAATCAGTCATTTTTAAATACCACACTAGTGTCACTTTTGTTAACTAAAAGTACTCAAAATAAATTTCATGAATCAAAATAAAGCTAATATAAATATTACTGAAAAATTTAAATGAAAATTCAACATCTTGGCAACTATATGAAATAAAATAAAGCTCAACAGAAATATAAAAACCTAGTAATGAATAAAAAATGCACAAAAATTACTACAACTTAAATTAAAAATAAAGGCAAATTCAAAATATTAATAAATACAATAATAGTACTGAAATAATACTAAAATAACACTGGGTCTCACTCAAGATTTTTTCAGAAATGTAAAATATAGTTTTGCATTTTTATTCCTGCCTGAAGAAAATGCTTTGAAATGTACTGTAGGGTGCACAAATATTACAATTCAGCCCAATAACGACAAACTAATAATTATTATGATCATTGTGACTGATAACCCAAAGATATTAACCTGATAATAAAATTCTATAATATTTTATCTAAATAAATAAAAAAACGTGAGATTTACTAAATATTATATTTAATATTGTTATAAATTTTTTTAAAGATTAACTTTAAGTGAGGGTTAGATAATGGCAAAGGTAATCTAAATGTAAAAACAGGGGAAATTATAAAATATTGACCAATACGGATACATTAAAAATGATAAAATATCTGCCAGTTAATCGATATAGAACTGGTATGTTCTGCCACCCTATTGAAACATCATCTTCTGTATCACTCAGGAGTTTTAGACACCACACACACACACACACACACACACACAGAGTCAGTGACAGTATGAGAGAGGACAGACAGACTAACAGATTGAGAGGGGTGCAACACAGCCTGAGCTTCACTGAGAGGTGTGTGTTTGTGTGTGCGCTCATGCTGCTTGTGAAGGAGACCCCGCGCGCTCACACTCAGTGTGTCAGAGTGACAAACGTGTCAGCACCGCCTGCGTCTCAGCTTTTTTTTCTGCTTATGTCAGTGCTTCTAAGATGAAGGGATGTTTTGTGTGTCTATTAGATGACCGCTCACTTACTGTTTATCTGCCTCCTGCTCTTCCTGTCAACGTGGCATTTTTGTAAGTAGGGACGGACAGACTAGATGAAGGGAGGATAGCGAGGGATGACAGGGATTTGTGTGAAAGTGAGAGAGGAATAAAGATGAAGAGACTGATAGTGGCGGAGAGAGAGAACAAAGTGTCCTTCATATGCCATCAGCATGCATGCCGGAGGCTGCAGGAAACTCTTAACATTTTTCTTCATAACTTACAAAACTACTACAAATGTGAGTCAATAGTAATAGTAGCACTGAAATATTTGCATTTAGAAAAACTTGCTCAAATCAGAAGAGGGAAGAATGAATTGCCTCTTCTCTTCTTTTTAATTGTTTACCACCTGCTTTCTGCAGGACATTGCATATTTGCAGCATGCAAATAGTGCTGAGTTTTGCGAATATACACTCTATAATCAGCCTAATTTACATAGAAAGGGTGGATTTTTGCACTAAAAAACAACAATGTAGCACTATTTCAACGAATTTAATGCCTAGTTAAACTGGACTGCAAGTGTTTTCTGAATTTAGTGGTCGGGCCATAAAAAAAAAAAAATCGAATGTACTGTATCTCAGACAACGGTGTGAGAATATTAAATATTATGTAATATTAAAGTAATTTTATTATTATTATTATATTATTTTAAAAATTGCTTGAAATTGTTTTCACCTCTTTAATTTCTGTAATAGTGAGGAATGATATGTATTTAAAGCACACATTACAATTACAGCATACATACAACATACAGTACATTAGTATATTTTAAAAGAATCATTACAGATTTTAAATGTTAGATTATTTTTTTTTAATACACTGATTAGCTGATCAGTCAAGAACAGTTTTCAGTTAATTACTTAAATGAAAAAATGCTGATTACTTCATTAAAATACATTTTAAAAATTAAATCTTTCAATTTAGCTATATCATTTTCATTTTATAACTAATGATACAGTTGCCCTGACCTTGCAAAATCTGCTTCTAGACAGCTAAAATTGTCATAAGATAGGTATTAAAGGGATAGTTCACCCAAAAATGTAAAATCTGTCATTAATTACTCACTCTCATGTCGCTCCAAACCCGTAAGACTAAGATTAAGATCATTTTGATGAAATCCGAGAGCTTTCTGACCCTCCATAGACAGCAACGCAACTGACACGTTCCAGGCACAGAAAGGTAGTAAGGACATCGTTAAAATAGTCCATGATACATCAGTGGTTCACCTTAATTTTATGAAGCAAAGAGAATAATTTTTTTTGAGCAAAGAAAACAAAAATAATGACTTTATTCAACTATTTCTTCTCTTCCTCGTCAGTCTTCAATGCGCCTTCACGAGAGTACCACGACGCATACATTGCTGTCTATGCAGGGCCAGAACGCTATCGGATTTCATCAAAAAAAAATTGTGTTTAGAAGATGAACGAAGGTCTCACGGGTTTGGAACAACATGAGGGTAAATAATTAATGACACAATTTTCATTTTTGGGTGAACTATCCCTATATCTATATCACTATATTTGAATTCAAAGGCATCCATACTAAATAGTAGGGATGTAACGATTAACCGTGAGCCGGTTGAAAATCGATTTAAATATGTGACGATTCAAATCGGTTGAGATGCTAAACAAATCGCGATTCAATTAGGGGTAGGAGTTTATATGAATGTATGTCTGAGGGGAACTTACTGTCTTTCGATGGAATTTTTTCTTTTGAGTTGAGTGAATAGTTACATCCCTACTAAATAGAAGAGATTTGAACAACTGCAAAAGAATTGATTTGTATATCTCAAAATCATTTTTGTTGTAAATTTCTCATGAAGAAATGCACTTGCATATCTTTCTCTCAAGCAAAGAGAGAACCTTAATGAGCATATGCTTAAGTGCAATCACTCTTTTATGATTTTTTTAGTGAAATTTAAGGTGTTACAATTGCCCTTGGGTTCCCATATGTGACGACCCACAGCACACAACACACACACACACAGACAAGCCTTGCCATGTAAAGCACATTTCGTGCAATTTGAAGCTGTTTCGTGAACAGCATCTTTTACCAGGGAACAGATGTGGAATGCTTAAATCTGAGCAGCGAGGTCAGCTTCACACCACTTCAGCAAAACACAGCGATTCATTCAGCATGACAACTAAAAAAACACCAGTACATTTCAAAGCATTTTCTTCAGGCAGGAATAAAAATGCAAAACTATATTTTACATTTCTGAAAAAATCTTGAGTGAGACCCAGTGTTATTTTAGTATTATTTCAGTACTATTATTGTATTTATTAATATTTTGAATTTGCCTTTATTTTTAATTTAAGTTGTAGTAATTTTTGTGCATTTTTTATTCATTACTAGGTTTTTATATTTCTGTTGAGCTTTATTTTATTTCATATAGTTGCCAATATGTTGAATTTTCATTTAAATTTTTCAGTAATATTTATATTAGCTTTATTTTAATTCATGAAATTTATTTTGAGTACTTTTAGTTAACAAAAGTGACACTAGCTTATTATTATGGTATTTACAGCTGCAGTGAATATCCCTGGCCATTTCAAAACACAATCAGAAGTACTTCACAATCAAGAACTAGAAAATCTGTTTTCTTCTGTTCACATCTGTTCTCTGCACTTTGTGTCACTACAGGCACACTGCTGGCAGACTTCTGCTCATTAAAAGTTGAAAATAATTTCACAAAAAGTGTCAATTTTCGGTGTACTGATATGTACACTAATAAATAATAAGCACATGTTTATTTTGGTACTAGGAAGACAGACTGAATAAACTGACAGAAATAAGTGTAAAAGCTTAAAAGTTCATAAAAATATATATTTCTATATGGAAAATAAAGTTGAAACAGGGTTGCTACTGTACTTGTAATAATGCTATAAATTGTGAAATGGTTATTGGTAATGGTCATAGGTTTGATTCCTTGGAAATGCATGAATTGAAATTGTGTAGTTTGAGCACAATGTAAGTCACTTTTGAAAAAAAAAAAAAAATAGAAATACTTTTCATTTTTTATGTAAACTATTCCTTTAAAGGGCACCTATTATGACCCTTTTTACAAGATGTAATGTAAGTCTCAGGTGTCCCCAGAATGTATCTGTGAAGTTTCAGCTTAAAATACCCCACAGATCATTTATTACATAATTTTGAAAATGCCTATTTTGAGTAGAAGCAGAAACACGCTGTTTTCGTGCATGTGTCTTTAAATGCAAATGAGCTGCTGCTCCTCGCCCGATCATTTCTGTAGCTCTAATAAGACATTCCTTACTTGAACGCTGCTTGTAAATGCTCTAGCGTGAAGATAAACATGGCAGATTGTGTGCGGCTCACTCAGGGCGGTGTCTCTGGTAATACAGCAGTGTCCGTCAACAGTCGTGGGCAGGGTCTGTAAAATGTGATTTCACATTTTGCGAACGGCTTGTTCTGAGACACTGCTTATATAATTTATGGGGATTAAAAAAGGTTTAAATAAATTTACTTCTAAGCAAGTGCTAATTTTGAGGATCTGTGTTATCCGCTAGAGCAAGGGTCTTCAACTGGGGTTCTGTGACTCCTAGGGGCTCCGTAGCAGCACTGCAGGGGGTCCGCCAATTAATGTTTAATCACAAATAATTAAAACATGGTTAAAAAAAATCACAAAGTAAATTATAAATATAAGCACCCTGAAAGGAAAGCAAATGCACTCTCAGTTGATACTGTAATCATATGTGACCCTGGACCACAAAACCAGTCATAAGGGTCAATTTTTCGAAATTGAGATTTATACATCTTCTGAAAGCTGAATAAATAAGCTTTCCATTGATGTATGGTTTGTTAGGATAGGATAATATTTGGCCGAGATACAACTATTTGAAAATCTGGAATCTGAGTGCTACAAATATACCCCAGCGACTTAAGACTGGTTTTGTGGTCCAGGGTCACATATAATATTATTGGTGAAACAGATTTAGCAAACGCTAAAAAAATTGCGGTTTTGAGTTTAAGCTCTGAGAACGTGAAATGTTCCTATTTACAACGTTTTTGCAGTCGTGAGAAATGTAGCCAATCACAGACATGTTTGTTGATCTCTTGAACACAATGGCCAATCAGAGGTGTTTAAGTTAGTATCCACTGACCGCTCATCCAAAACGCCAGATTTTGTTCAGTGCTAAGTTATACTCGCTCTCGCCAATCGTCTCTCATTACAAACATCGACACGATGTAAATAAGAGATTTCATTATGCAGTGTAGACAACTTTATTGATTTTAATGGAACGTTGTGATATCGCGAACTGAGATTCAGTGACAGCTTTTTAGTAATTGTAAAGTGAGCGGCCTTTCGCACTTTCTAGGCTATATAGCTATAATCAATTGACTAAAAGTATTGTTTTTCATGCTGCTAGGAAGACAAACGGCCAATTACATGCTGCAAAGTTTTGGAAGTGACGTCTACATATAAATGCACGATTGACTCTGAAGCTGCAGTTGACATAGTGATACTAGCACGGGACAAAAACATGGCATGTCAAAATAGATACGCGCAATGTAAATGCAGACTAATTGATTACCAGAAAAATATTTGCATCAATAGAATGTGATTTTTTTTTTAATAAACGTGTAGCTAGATTTCAGGTGGATGCAAATGTCCATCTGACTTGTACAATTAAAATGTATAACTCTACAAATCCATTTAAATACTTTACAACAACTAATGAATTGCAATTTTTATTTCAATGTGTTATAATGCATAAATCTCAGTTTTAATAATAAAAAGTAATAGACAGGTAGTGATGCATGTGCAACAACAATAATGTTCATAGTTCTGATTGACTGTCTTAACATATAATTTATTTATTCTTAATCATAATATGGTTAGTTTCTATTAATATCGAAGGCTATATGCTTAATATGTAGCTCTGCTTGACACATTTTGTATCTCCCAAGGGGTCCTTGCCCTGAAAAACGTTGAAGACCCTTGCGCTAGAGGATCAAACGTGTGCTTGAATGACAAGAGGACAGGAACAAGACATGCCGTGAAACATATTCAATTTAGCAGCACATTTGGACCCAATAAACCAGCAGGCTTCAAATTTGTCCTTTAATCTTCTATCTTCTCAGCTTTAATCTTCTCCTCTATAATATATTATAGTTATTACTTTGTTTCAAGGTAACAGGTGGAACTGGCATCTCTAGGACTCACACACACACTGTCCAGGACAGCTGGTGTGGACAACACACCCCTCAGGTCACAAACAGCTCACCCGTGTTTCATATTTGCTCAGTGGTACCTCTGGGCTTTGGTCTGACCAGGGCAATATGCCATACAGTACATACACACAGACTGTGTCTCATTATCACTAGAGCAGGTGTAGGTGATCGCACAATTCAGCCAATATGACATCCACGTCAAAACTCCATATGGTGGTGGTTAATACCGATTAAAACACTATGCTGCTAAATGTGAACTTGTTAAATTGACGATAGGCTACTATTAGTGCTCAATATACAGTTGGAGAGTAATTCAGTGGTTAGAAATTTTGGCTGGGAACCAAAACATTCATACCAACATCACGGAAAAACCAAACAAATGATGTTTAGTAGTTTATGTACATAAGTTAGACCATTTCTTCTAGCCAAAATAAGGTTTAAAGTGTGTAGATAATCAAAAGTATGCTTTTGTTAAACTTTTATTCCTTTAATAAATGTACTGTGAGTGATTTTAAAGCATCTGTGAATTGAATAATTAGTTTACCTGTGATGTCTGTCCTCCCGTCCTCTTCAGACTCTTTTCCCAATAGCCATCTTTGGGCCTCTCTAACTTCGGGAACATAGAAATCACCCTGCCGAGCCAGCGGACCCATATAGTGGATCATTCCCCCTTTGTAGATCTCTAGAAATGGATGTGCGCACAACTTCCTTTCCTAAGAGAAAACAACATTATGGGTTAAACTTCGTTCAGTCCAACTCATTTATCTAACAAAAACTCAAAAAATAAATGTTCTAAGTACTTTTCCAAGCTGAAATACACAAAAGTTTGGGGTAATATTTTCTTTACGAAATTAATACTTTTATTGGGCAAGGATGCCTTAAATTGGTCAAGTGACAGACATTTATAATGTAAAAAAAAAAGATTTATATTTAAAAAAAAATGAAGAATCCTGAAAAAAAAAATCTAGGTTTCCACAAAAATATTAAGCAGCACAACTGTTTTCAACATTGATAATAAAAAAATAATTTCTTGAGCAGGAAATCAGCATATTAGAATGATTTCTGAAGATCATGTGACACTGAAGACTGGAATAATGATGCTGAAAATTCAGCTTTAACATCACAGGAATAAATAAGATTTTAAAATATCTTGAAATAGCAAACAGTTATTCTTAATTGTAATAATATTTCACAATAGAAATGATTTTACTGTATTTTTAATCAAATAAATGCAGCCTTCGTGAGAATGAGACACAGATTATATATAATAAATATAGCAATAATTAAAACATTTTATGTCTCATTTTATACAAACAGCCTCTTTCATTTCACATAATAAAATAATTTACTCCAATTAATATTTCGTGTGCATTTATTTATTTATTTCAGTTCATGCTGGGATTTATTCTGTGATAATTGCTGGCTAGCTGGATATTTTTACTGTACATTATCTCTCACATAATGGCATGTTAGACCTATAGATATTGTCTTATCTAAAATTTATAAACTCCCCTAAAGGATAATCATTTGGAAATGCTCATATTTAAGCATAAAACACACTTAAAAGAGAAATCTGTGGCACTCAAGGCGATGGGTTAACAGAACATTTCCTTGTTACCATTGCTACATTTCCTCTGGAAGGTCTAACAAAGACAGAGAAAGACAGATGAGAAGAGAGGGAGAGCAAATAAAAGGAAAAGTTGAAAAGCTAAGAGCAGGTTTTCCAGAGACACTAAGATTAGAGAGCTGTGCCCACCCACCGACACTTCCTCTTCCTCTCTATGGATTTCTTCCTTATTACTCACTGATTTTAACACTGATGAGGCTTGGACCATTGTAATGCCCTTTCTATCTCTTACACATTCTGAACACACACATCTTATCAAAGCTTGCAAAGCTTTCTTCATTTCAACTGATTTTAAAGAGCCCCCAACAGTGTCGTTAAACCCCCTATTGAGACGATTCTTGTCTTGTGATCTTTTCATTAAAATCTTACGTGCGCTAAATCACACTAATTGAAACCGGCATTTTTTAACCATCAATATACAAAGGAACCAAAAGAGGCTCTGTTTGGGATGCTAAGGATGAGTATGTTTCTTGTTTTCTGTGGAAGTGTAAATGTGTTAAAGACATCCAAAATGCATAATTCTGATAATTACATACCTTTCAAACCCCTAAAAGGCCTATCGCTGCGTCCAGACTGCAGACTCACTTTCACTTCAGGCAGAGTGCAGTTAACAGTAGTCAAATGTTACATCAATATTCATTAAGCTGATGAATATTTGAAGGTGAAGTGTTGAATATGCAAATCAGAAATGGTCTTATGTAAGCGACTGAAGCGCAAGAAAACAAGACGGTTGGACAGGTTATATTTGGATAAATTACTTACTTGAAAACACATCCTTACAAGTCAGACAACTGCTCCCCCCTAAAAAGAGACCACCCGATGTTTAGTTGCCTACATGTACTCAAACAGTCTGGAAGATGAGGGATGTTTCTGTTCTTCAGCTTTTACTGAATATCTCTCCCACCATCTGTTTCTCATAGACAAAGGCCTTGAACTTGTCAGTTGTGTTGCTGTCTATGCAAGGTCAGAAAGCTCTCGGATTTCATCAGAAATATTGTAATTTGTGTCTTGCAGATTTGGAACGACATGAGGGTAAATAATTAATGTCAGAATTTTCATTTTTGGATGAACTATCTCTTTAAAATTATAGGTATATAAAAATACCTACTTATTCTTACCTGACTGACTCTTCATCACCTTGCCTTTAGCATTAGCATATATTATGTTCCTACACTCTAAAAAATAAAGGTTCCTTATTGGCATTCATGGTTCCATGAAGAACCTTTAACATTAATTGAGCCTTTCCATTGCACTAAAGGTTATTTTTAGTGGAACAAGGTTCTTCTTTATATAATTAAAATGTTCTTCACACTAAGAAATATGGTTCTGGAACTGTTCTGAAAGGTTCTTTGGGCAACCAAAAATGGTTCTATGGCATCACTGCAAACCCCCCCTTTTGGAACCTTTAAACCATTAAACTCACAAACAAATTCAAAGTCTGAAAGAGGAAAAGGCCTGATCTGAAACCTTGATCTCATCGCCACAGCCCTATTCTACTTCTGACAGATGATTGACGTGTGCTGCCACGAACAAAGCTAGAGGAATGGGGCCATAAACAGGGACATGAGACAGAAGGGACTGGAAGCTGGGGATTTACATAAGGCTATTAATATTCCAATATCATAAACAATGTATCCGTGCCATACTGTTTGAGATTCGGTCCCTCAAGACCTGAAAAAGGAAAATGCACCAATGAGCAAATTTGTTGATTCATTGATTCCAACTCTTAGGTCACAAAATTGGGACAATTGTTTGTGCAAGGATCTATGGTAAAAATAAGCTCAGCTAATTTATCATTATAAGAAGTTTTGACTTTTTTTAACTTAACATGCTGATGCATAATCCATAAGTGTATTGTCCTGTTCTCTCTGTTGGGATTTTGTAATTGGTTTATGGCTGAACTATTGATTCTAGATAATTAACCAGCTGACAATCCCATGTGGCACTCTGCAATCAAAATAAAGCTGAAGGGCAAGAAGATTCATATCCACCATCATCATCAGGTCAATAGTCTCTTATGTCGTTCCTTTGCCTCAAAGAATCAGCCATTGTTCCAATATTTTACCTACAAATGCAGCTCTATAAAGTAACCATTTCATACAAGCCTAGGTTTGTATTTATATCCAAAGGCATTTCCAAAACTCCTCAATGAGTACTTCCACCAAAGCAATCAACCTAAATAAAAACTGTGAAAAAAGATTCAAGTTTGTGTATTCTGAGGGACTTAAAGCGGTAGTCCGTAAGTTTTGCCTCTTTGTCGCCATCTCTCTGTTAGAAAACCTGCAATTGCAGCTGTTTGCGGAATTATCTTCCTTGCGTGGGTTGTGCGCCGGTCACCGGCACCGGCAGTTTTGAGGAGTATGTGTGGCAGTCAATCACCGCTCCGGTGTGGATATTTACTGTACTTCGCAATCACAGATTCTAGCCTACGTCTTGGAATATATGATATTGTCATCTGAACAAGTAACAAGTCTGCCACGTTTGTTCTGACCAACTGAGGAAAAAAGCAGTACAATAAATCATGCTACCAATGGTGATTTAATCTAAAGATTGGTTAGCTCATATCACATCAAACCGTGCAGATTATTATTATTGTCATACTTTATTCTCAAATTATTAAAGGGGACCTATTATGCAAAATTCAAGTTTTGACATAAATGTGTGTTGGCAGTGTGTGTACACAACCACCCTATAATGATAAAAATCCACCCACTCCTTTTTTTTAAATCCCCATAAATCATAAGCAGTGTCTCCCAACTACCTGTTTTCCGACTTGGTGCTAATGTGACGTCAGACAAACACTGCCGTTTTAACATAGAACCACCCTGAGCGAGTTCACAGCGAGTTGTACACAGTCCGCCATTGCTGCACTGACGAGAATGTCTCCCAAGCGTTTTAGGTGTTCTGTAGCTGGATGTATGAATCCACATAGCTCTCTCCTTACTCCCGAAATCTGAGCCGCTGAAGACAAGGTGGATTAATTTTATTTTCAAAGAAAATGCTCCGTCAACTCTACCGAAATACGTTTATGTCTGCTCGAATCATTTTACACCGGACTGCTTTGTGAATGAGGGTCAGTATAAAGCAGGTTTTGCACAAAAGTTGCTCCTGAAGGATGGGAGCAGAGTCAACTGTTCGTGATCCAGCTACACCTCCAGAAGAAGAATCACGCGTTAGTTTTCCAAATTGCCTTTCTGAAAGAGCTTCTTGGCACTCTGTAAGGCTAATGTTGCTAAAGCTACCATTGTCTGTCTGTTTTCACTGATGCTGCCTTCACGTGCTACCAGAATGATCGTGAATAGGAATGTGGTAGTTAAAAATTGCATATGAAAGCAATCTGAAGTCGACCACTTGAATTATTCAAGCTCATAATCACAAGTGGGACTTATAACGTTTGTGATAGCAAGCAAAGGCACCATGAGACCCGCTATGTCATTAAAGCAGGTTTTGCACAAAAGTTGCTCCTGAAGGATGGGAGCAGAGTCAACTGTTCGTGATCCAGCTACACCTCCAGAAGAAGAATCACGCGTTAGTTTTCCAAATTGCCTTTCTGAAAGAGCTTCTTGGCACTTTGGAAGGCTAATGTTGCTAAAGCTTCCATTGTCTGTCTGTTTTCACTGATGCTGCCTTCACGTGCTACCAGAATGATCGTAAATAGGAATGTGGGAGTTAAAATTGCATATGAAAGCAATGTGAAGTCGACCGCTGGAATTAGTCGAGCTCATAATCACAAAGTGGGGCTTATAAAGTTTGTATGGCACCATGAGTTCTTTTTATCGCGCCGTGCTCGATATCAGATGACTGACCATTAAACCGAGTGCGTTTTCTGTAAAGATAACAGGCTTGTTCTAATAGTGGAGTGTTTATTTGCAAAGGCTAGCACCGGTATTGCCGGAGCTTACGAAAATAGTGATAGTTTTGAACACTGGCTGGTTATGCACTTGCTCAGATATGGATTTCGGATCATTTTTAACCAAAACAAGTTACGGACTGCAGCTTTAAATAGAGCTACTGAGCATGTCTTTTTAATATGTTTATAAAAATCTAAACTATTACATATAGATATTAACAGATCTGTTTTAATAC